AATTTTTCAACAATTACAAAACTGTGTGTGTATATACACATACATGTCTGTTCATATTACCATACATATATGTGTCCATATTGAAAATTTTTCAAAAAGAACTACACAGTAACTTCAGCGAATCTGGATATAACCATTGCTGAACTTCCCATAAAATTTTCCCACAGTGTATTTATGCATGAGTTTTTAAAATAAAAAAGGATAGTCTCATTGTTATCCAGATTTATATCTTAATAATCTCACACACTGTTCTATATTTTCTTAAGAATTAGAAATTTCATCACTACAGTGGTATTTTAATACTAGGGCAAAATTTCCTAAAGTTTTTAAAAACAATTATTTCATCTATTAAGTGGTAAACAAATAAAATAAGAATTACATGACTTAAAGTTAAATGAGCTTCCTTCCTACAGGACTTCTCAGAACCCTTTGTGTGTAGGGGAGGTTGAGAAAGTGATGAACCACACATGTCTCAATGACTCACACAATCTCTGTCTTTCACTCCTGAGCAAGCTGGACTTCGCATTTCCAAAGCATTTGCTATGAAATATTAAGATACACACTCACTGAAGACATTTTAAACTGTAGTATTCAATCAAAGTGCCTGTAGATAATCTCAAAATCTGGATGTGTGTATTAAATTTCTGAATATTTTGAAAAATCTTGTTACTACAATTTTAAGACAATCTTGTCACTTTTGTGCAAGTTTTAGTTCGATGGGATGGATCAATACTTTGTAAACAGAGTCCCTTCATATTACAATCAAATGGCCATGATGCATTCTTTTCTAAATCTTGCTCATCTTATGTCTCCAAAAATAACTCTCTTTACAACTTGATGTTAGAAAATATGTACTGTTTTGATGGTCTTGTTAAACTTTTAAAAGTTGAATATCTTGTCCAATTAAACCTTGCTTTTTTAAGTAGGACAAACATATCCTAAATTTTGTTTTAGCCATGGTATTTAATATGCCTAAATTCTATTTTTTGTTTCCTTTTTATAATTGAACCATAATATTTTTCAGTGAGCAGGGTTATATAGAGGTATATATTCTCCAAGATACAAAAATAATCAGGAAAACTTAGTTTTAAGAAAGCTCTGAACATATCTTTCAAATATAGATTCACACATAGTGCTAGTATGAAATCTATGAATGACACTCCTCACTTTACAAATTATGAAATGTAATATCAATTAAATCGCCTTTTTTGGTACTAGAGATTGAACCTAGAACAGGATCTTGAAAAGTTGCCCAGGCTGGCCTCCAAATTGTAATCCTCCTGCCTCAGCCTCCTAGCTAGTTGGGTTTACAGGCATGTACCACCACATCCAGCTATCATTTATCTTTTATATCATATATCTCCTCAATATTGCAAGGTTTTATCTTATTTTAGTAACTATCAGTGCAATTGTTTAAAAAAAAGCTAATATTTACTTACAGTATACCATGTAACCGACAGTGTCTCCTTCGTGTACTTAAAAGTTTGGCACATTTTCTTCTCATGCGACTATGCAGTGGTTGATATTATTGCTGTTAGATGTTGGATTGCTGTTAGATGTGAAATGGAAAATGTTTGAATGTGTTTGCCTAAAGTCACATAACTTAGTAGTGCTGCACATATGCTTTAAAATCAGACATTTGGCTCACAACCTTTGCATAACTGTCCTTAACACCAGATGGCAGTCATTTTAGAATGCCTGTACCATGCAGCAGACACTACATCTGCCCTCACACACTCGCTAGGGAAGCACCAGGTTCATCTCACTGACAGATGTAACAGCCAAATAGCTGATGCACTAGCAGGCTCAAGCCCACCGTGTTTGACAGGTATGGCTCTGGGAGTTTGAGACCAGGTAGCCAGGGTCCAGTGTGCCTCATCAAGTGCTCTCCTCTGTCTAATAAAACTGCATGTGCTCAAGCAATAAGAAATCTTTCCTCCAGGATCATAGTTCTTTCCAGCCCTGGTTGCAGCCTGCCCTCCCTCTGTCCTGCTGTCAGGCCACTCAGTCCCAGACTTCCATGTCTGAAGAAGCACTCTCTATGATTTATGTAAAGTACAGTCAATTCCATAGCTGAAAAATCCCGCTTCTCACAAATGTGCATGCACTGATTCATGAAAGAGGAGACGACAGTGGCAGCAGAATCACTTTGTAGTATTTTAATGTACACTTTCTGTATTATGCAAATCAAAACTAATGATGCCTTACACATACGACAATCTTTTGGCGACAAGACTGCTGCACTACATCTTAACAAATCAATTTCTAGATCACAGTCACACTCCGGGAATGGTCGGTAAACTCTACGTGTGACGTGAGGCCTCACCATTGCTGTTGGTGCACAGTGTCCCAGGGTCCCTGGGAAAGCATTGTGAACACTGTCTTGATGTGGTCAGTATGAAATGACATTTTACTTCTTAAGCAAAAGAAAATAGAGATCTGTAACAGGCCATTGCCTCTCTGTATTTTTGAGAGAATTATTCAGCAAACCATATCAAGGAAATTCAGAATCTGATATAGTTTTGGTATCTATAAGATAAATTTTATTTTTCTTTAGTATGTATAAGACATTGTAGATCTGTTTTTTAAACAGAGCAGGGTTTGATTACTTGTGTGTTTTTGTCTTTTCCATAGCAATTCTATAAATACTAAGAAAAGTAAGTGAGAAAAGATATGGAGTATTATCTGGAGAATAAAATAAAAGCGAAAACGATTCCTAATTAGATGGCGTATATGCATAATTACTTATTGTCAAGAAGCTTGTCAAGAATGTGATTTATTGTCATTCCTGGATTATCTATTGCATTGCCAGTAAAACCACTAATATTGAATAACTGATACCAATGCATTGATTGACAGTTTCAAAATTAATAAACAGCTAAAACAAAGCCACATTTGAATTATTTAAAATCCAAATCTCAGTGTTCTCACCGATATACTATAGTACTTCACTCAAACACAGCATAAAATGACTCTTTAATTTATGTAATTATATATATATAAAATCTAAACAAATCCATTCTACTGAGTAATTACAATTTTTCCAACTTATTATGGAAGGTAGATAAACACTTATGTTCTTTTAAAGAAATTCTTTGCTTGGTGATTAACTATACATTCAAAATCACTGCAATTTGTTAAGTGATGCTTTTTACAAAAGCATTTTGTAGCTATTCCAATCTATTTACAGAAAACTTCTTTATATTCTGTGGACAAGTTTTTGACAACATTCATTATCTCCTTAGCAGACCATGTCATTTCCATAGAAACCACTGAGGCTGGGTACAGAAATGCAAATTCAATTCTATGGTAAGAAACAGGCTTTTGCAATAAAACCCCAGATCCTTAAATTTTACATTATAATGGGTTTATATTCTGTTTAGCAAATCACTAACCCAATAAAGTATAAAAATGATACTTTCCAAAATTACCACTATGTACACTTTACTCTCATTTCTTTCTAACCATTACATGTTTTTACTCTTTAACAAGGACCTGAAAGTCAAAATGAACAGAAGGAAGAAGAAGTAACTTTTTATTGGGATGGGGCTAAAAGTCAGAAGGAGCCATTTAGTTTGAGTTCCTTCTCTCTTTGCCTTACTTTTGATTTTCAGGATTTTAATATTTTCCTCATAAGAATTTCTCTGGGAGTATTAAAATACTACTAAGTTTGCTTTGTGCAAAGTATTTTCCTGAGCATTTTGAGTAGTATAGAAATATAGTAAAGAAACTACCATTCTAAAACACAAACAATACATAGTTTTGTAAATAATTCATTACCGCAGTGCTTAGACAGCATTGATCATTATAAAATCTTGAATGATTAATTACCATAAATTGTGTAGTTTGCATTAATATACATTTTTCTAAGATGTTTATTTATGAAAGGATTGGAGAAATATTATTGAACAAAATAAACCCTAAAATTATATTTAATGAGCTATTTGCAATGTTCAGAAAGACAAAAACAAAAGTGAGCTTTAAGGCATTCTCTGTAAACTATAATCCACAATGTAATGTACTATAGAAACTTTTAAATATGCTATTATTCTAATAATGAAAGAAATGTAGTCTTCCTAATGTTAAAATCCTATCTAATATTTCGCTATGCTGTATTTGTCCCTCACATATCCTGGTAGTTAAATGGCCAGATTTTGTATCTTCTTGGGATTCCAGCTTTGCCTTCCTTTGCATAAATGTGTACTGTAATCTGAAGATCATGGTCACTGTTCATTGTTACTAGAATGTGTAAAATACTGTGTAGTAGAGTAAATGTATACAGTGTATGACCCTGATACATTTTTTCCTATGTTTTTTAGAATTAACTTTACTTTAGTTCTGAATTGTCATGACCTCTTTTGTTTTTGATATGCCTAAATGATGTTACAAGGTTTGGTTTAGTGTTTCTTTTTTTTTTATTAATTATTGGTACACTTAAGGTATACGTTATGATCACATCCATCATTGGGAATTTGCACCTGTACATGATATATCTGAGTTCTTGTTTTTTCCCATTCCCCTTCCCTCCCTTCTACACTTCCACCCCTCCTTTATTTTCTTCATTAGTATTGCATTTGCCATATATTTTTCAAAATTATTTTAATATTTCAAATGAGTGTTTGGCACAGAAAAACTAAACTTATGCAAGCAGAATTCAAGTGTGAAGCATAACTTATGCTCTAGTAGCCACATAAGTTTTGCTAAGTGAATTCATCATCTTAAAAACCAAAAAGAAAAGCACCTCTGGGAATAAACAGAAGAAGACAAAGATTCCTTGCCATTCTTGTAAGCTGAGTACCAGCCCCCAAATGCCTGCTTTGTCTGTAGTACAGGAAATAATAACCAGTGCAGCAGCACTGCTCAGAACCACCAGGCGGATTGCTTAACTCAATCCTATGGCAACTTGTCACTCTAATCTTCTCATTTCTAGCTTTGGAATGTGAGTGATTTAATACTGGGCATAAGATACAATTCTGTTGTCTTGTTTTCTTTGCTTTTAGCTCCTTGTGAAGGCAATACATTCTTCTGCCATAGTAACATGTGTATTAATAATACATTGGTCTGCAATGGACTCCAGAACTGTGTATATCCTTGGGATGAAAATCATTGTAAAGGTAATGATTAGTTTTTGAAATTTGCAAAATCTCCTTCCTGTACAATGAGAAAAAAGCTTATATTCATTGGTCATAAAAATAAGTATATAGGGGCTTTGTGAGCTGCACATGTCTCATAATCAATTTGTAGGCATTTTGTTTTGCCTTTACTTAGGCTGTATCCACACATTTCCTCACTCATTAATTCGTAGTGGACTATCTTCACCACTAGAATGCTGATTAAAAATATCTTATAACCTGTAAAGCCACAGAGAGTAAATTGGATTCTTCCATAGAATACATTACTTCACTCTCATACCTGGTAACCCTCAACCCATAGTCACACCTCTCATTCATTCCAGTTTTTTTTTATTTGTTGCACTCTAGAGATAGAATATCTTCAAGAAGCATTTGTGCTTTCAAGTTCTTTCAGCCTCTTAACTCCACTCCAAATGTGCTACCAAAATATTTTTCTACTTTTCCAATTAAAAATATTTCCCAGTGCTCCCAGTACCTTCTCTAGCCTCTCTGTAAAGGGTTATGTAGACAGGGTTCCTTGGCTGGTTTGTGTTGTATGTTAAGTTGGAACTATCATGTATTCTTTTGCTCAGGTTCACTCTTAAGCAATTTGCAAAAAAACATAAGCAGACTGGTAACTCTCAGATGGCTAGAATCTGGTATTACTTATTGAAAAGGCTTCTGTTCATAGGCACAGGAAAGCATCACACAGCAGCCATTGTTTTGCAGAGTCAATAAGATGAGTTGAATAGCAGTAACTATTTTGATAATGAGGTATTGGTCATCACTAATTCTGTGTCCCAGGAACCACTTGTCAGTAGATAGAAAGTTAAATACTATCTGAATTATTATTGTAGGCTGAATTATCCTCACACCGCACTATTAATGAGTCATAGTCACTACCAGCTTTGTTTGCCCAGCGGGATTTGTTGCCATACCTGTAAAGAGTATTTTGCCTGAGGCAACAATCTAGAAATTCCGAACTGATGTGTCTTATGAAAGTCCCTGTCATGTTCTCTAGAAGGCTCAACCATTCATTTGATTTCTGATCGATTTTCTTGTGATAGAACATACTTTTTATGATTTCAATAACTTACAGTGTACTGGAGATTTTGTGGCTTAGCCTGAAATATAGCCGAAAAGAATGTCCATGTGCCCTTGAAAACAATGTGCATTTGCTGATATTGGGGGATTGTTCTACAACGTATCAATATTCAGTTTTCTTTTTGATCTTCCATGTTTTACCCATTATTGAAAGAGGATAGTTAACTCTCTAAGTATGGCTGCGTTATCTGCTTCTCTCTTTAGTTTTGTAAAGCTTTTGTTTTATGTATTTTTTAACTTTGCTGTTAGGACAGTATGTGTTTATAATTTTCATGTCTTCTGATGAATTGAACATTTTATCACCATAAAGCAATATGTTTAGTAACATAGTTTCTCTTAAAGTTACTTTGTCTGACACTAGAGTAGCCACTCCAGCTTCCTTACAATTGTGAAACCATTCCCTACTTTCTATCTGTCTCTATCTTTTGAATAGAAAGTGTTTTTTTCTATGTAGGCTGGGGATATAGCTGTGATATAATGCTTGCCTAGCATGCATGAGACCCTGGGCTCAACCCTCAGTACTAAAAGTGTTTTTCCTATACACAGCATATGTTGAATCTTATTTTTTAAATCCAGTTTAGCACCCTTTACTTTTTATTAGGTTGTTCCATGTATTCATATTTAATATACAGTTATTAATATAGTTGGATTCTTATCTACCATTATAGTTTTTCCTACATTTCTTACATTTTTCCCCTCTAAGACTTCCTTTACTCTGCTCTTCTTTATTAAGTGAATATATTCTAGTGTAATGTTTTAATTTTTTAGTAGTTTTTCAGTGTATTCTTGATTTTTTTCCTAGTGATTGCTTTGGAGTTGTAATAAACAGTTTGACTTTTCAGAAGCTATTTCAGATTTATACTAACAATTCTAGTGAAATATAAAAACATTATTTCTGTAAACCTCTTATCTCTCTTCCTTTCTCCCCAAATTATGTCTCTTTATGTGGTACACTCATTAATTTATTATGGTAATTTTTACTTTATATAATTTAAATCTTTTGGAGAAGTTGGCAGAAGAAAAGATGGCACATATATGCCAGTATAATTTCTTACACAATTCTTTAATTAGACTTACTTTACCCTTGATGTCATTTCCTTACTCCAGGATTAGTTTAACTCGGCAATCTTGTTTGTACTTTTGTTCAAATACGTGATATTTCTGTAAGTTATGGACTGAACAGTACAATTATGTATGTACAACACTGTGGGGTTTTTTTAAATAAGTGAGTACAAAAGAAATTCTCAGCTGAATCGTTTTTCCTAATTATTGACATGATTGCCTCTGTATTTATTTTTCAGTTTAAGCCATTGTCATTACATTTTCCATGTGGATTTGCTATTGTCTTTGGTCACATGTTTTCACTTCAAAGAATTTCCTTCCTTATTTCTTTTACAGACTTCTCTTTCAGCATTGATTCTGTTTTTGCTTTTGTTTATCTATCAGTCTGTTCATTTCATTCTTGAAAGTAGTTTTACTAGATATTGTGGTTTAGTGTACAGTTCTTGTTGTGATGATTTGGGCTTTGTTTTTGGTTGCAGTAATTTGAATTTATTATTCTACTGCCTTCAGCCTCCATTGATGACAAACCAGATAATAGTCTGATTAGGGCTCTGAGGAGGGTTTTTGCTGAGCTCATTTCTATATTTTTTTATTTGTTTCTTTTTAACTTTTTAAATATTATATATCTAAGCATAGATTTTTTGCATTTATTCTACTTGAACTTTGTTGAACTTAGATATGGGTTCTGTCATCAAGTCTGGAAAATTTTCAGCCATTGTTTTTTAAAAATGTTTTTCCTGTTTCTTCTCTCCTTCTGTACACCCTTGTTTGTTTGCTATATTTTTCTGAGGCCCTGTTACTTTTTCTGAATTCTTTTTTTCCCATTCTTATTTTGGTAATACAGTAAATTTTAATTTCTTTATCTTCAAAGGATGCCCTGTGTCCTTTTCTACAATTTCCCTGAGCAGAGGCAATAATCTGAGGGTGCAGGGAGTCAGTTGTGGCTCAAATGCCACAGATGCTCACTGTTCTGAAAGAAATCCAGCTAATTTCAAATAGATGCATCTCCATGTGCTAAATACCTTTCAGACATTTTCCAAAGTTGCATTATATAAGAATTTAAATTCAATTACTTTTCCCAGTAATTTATGCCAGTTATGGCTACTTAATTTGGCAAAGAACTCATTCAGGCTCTCATGACACCATTCCAAAATGTCTGTCTTAAATTTGAATTAGATTACATTTTGGTACCCAGATGCTATGGTTAGTTTAACTTCAGCCATCTCTGTCAAGCATAGGCACAGAATAATATGAATATATTTATACTTACAGCAGTGTGGTTTACCAGTATCTTTAAAACTAACTGAAGAAAATAACTTACTTTATAAAATTATAATTTCTTCCCAAATGTCATGACACAGATCTTGTACAAATTTCTTTAACATACACTCATATAGATGCACTCATATGTGTATATGTGTATATATAAATATACATACATACTTATACATATATACACGTAATTATTTAAAGCCAATATGCTGGGCAATGAGAGGGGTATTTGCAGGGCTAGAAGGTAGGGCCCTCGTGAAAAGTGAGAACATTTTCTATTTTTAAATATTTTTATGCTGCTTTAAGCCTGTGAAAATTCCATGCTCAGCCTATTTCATTTTAAAATTTTCAATATATGTTTTGACCATAATATTAATGTGTGGTGGGTTGTTTCTTGTTTTGTCTGTCTATTGTTTTCACTGTCTCCTACCTGCAGAAAAGAGGAAAACCAGCCTGCTGGACCAGCTGACCAACACCAGTGGGACTGTAATTGGCGTGACTTCCTGCATTGTGATCATCCTTATTATCATTTCTGTCATTGTACAGATCAAACAGCCTCGTAAAAAATACGTCCAAAGGAAATCAGACTTTGACCAGACAGTTTTCCAGGAGGTGTTTGAGCCTCCTCACTATGAGTTATGTACTCTCAGAGGGACAGGAGCAACAGCTGACTTTGCAGATGTGGCAGATGACTTTGAAAATTACCACAAACTGCGGAGGTCATCTTCCAAATGCATTCATGACCATCACTGTGGATCCCAACTGTCCAGTACTAAAGGCAGCCGCAGTAACCTCAGCACAAGAGATGCTTCTATCTTGACGGAAATGCCTGCACAGCCCGCCAAGCCCCTCATCCCACCCATGAACAGAAGAAACATTCTCGTCATGAAACACAACTACTCACAAGATGCTGCAGATGCCTGTGACATCGATGAAATCGAGGAGGTGCCAACCACGAGTCACAGGCTGTCCAGACACGATAAAGCCGTCCAGCGGTCAGTATCAATAAATTTTTTGATGACAACTATAACCTGAGGACTGAAATACTTCCAGAGTATCGTGTCCTATTTTGTCTTCATATTTCATTTCCCTTTAAATGATTTAACCATATTCTCTTTTTCTTTTTTAGTACTATCTGTATTTTAAGTCCCATATTGCATGATATATATACATATGCACAATAGAACAAAAATATCCTATTTTAAGCATATATACAAATGTTTATTTGCATAAAATTAAAACTTTCAATTTATAATACAGATTGTTCAATATTTATACATTTTAAAATAGAAAATACATTTGGAAAAAATTGCCTTACTAAAATGGTTAATCCATTTTGTTGAACAGTTCTGATACAAAAATAACATATTTTTCAACATAATATACTTATTTTGTGTGAAAATGAAAATAGTTGTCTTCTCCATACCAGATGATGTATCACAAGTTGCATATGACAGCATTGCTATGATACTGAACATTGATATTTAAATGTAGAGAGTAGAAACATTTTATTTTCTTGTTTAGAGATATAAAGTAATTTCTTATTGTATATTGGCACTTAAATGAATAAAAGTTTTGAGGATAGAGAATTTAAAATTAGAAAAGAATTAAAATTTAACATCATCTAATTTTGTTTTTTGCATGTTTACTAGTATTTAGTTTATTTTATAAATGTACATACTTTTTCCATTTTTTTATACATTCTCAAAATCTAAAATATTTTATTTGATTTGATGTCTTGCATGTTGATGGCAAACAGTTATTTCCATTGTTTTATAAATTTTGGGAATGCTTTTAAGTAAATATCGCTATGCATATATTTATTTTATGCCCAAATACTACTTGGTTGAATGAAATAGCCGTAACATTCCAGGTTCTGCCTCATTGGGTCTCTAAGCAAACATGAATCTGAATACAACACAACTAGGGTCTAAAAAGAAAATTCAAGGTAAGCAAATGCCTTTGGTTCCTTCACCCACTTGGTTGTACTCTGTTTTGTTTTGTTCTGTTGCAACTGTCTTGTAGTTTTTTTAGGCTATGTGACATTTATTCATTATTTATTGAGATGCGTGTTTCATAAAATTTCATAATTATAAATATAAATGTCCAATGCTTATGGGGATGATTTTTGCCATATATAACTTTAAAATATATGTTAACAGTCTTACCATTAAGCATTGTACTAAAATATTATTAAAAGGATATTGATTTAATAAGCTATATTTTACATATTTTAAGATAATGATACTAAAAGTAATGAACACATGATCTCTTAGAATTAATACCACAAGAAACCATTTTACAAAATAAATAAAAATAGAATATTTATTCTTAATACAATGGAGGTGAATGAAGTGATTATATTAAAGTGGTAATTACCTTAGTGATAATTTGGCAACATTCTATTCAAAATGTAAACGTTAAGTTTTTAGTAGTCCTCAGACAATTTTGTCACTTTTATTTTTGCATGAATATGTAGCTTATCTCATCAAAATTAAATGCAGCATGTAAAAGATTTCATTACTACCACTTGTCTATCCGTACATCTATTTTGTCACCAAATAACACAAGGTTTTACTTTCTGTACTTGATAGTCTATGTGTATATTAGTCTAATTTGTCTCCAATTAAATTTGCTTGACAGCTAATCTCTTCAAAACTCTTCAAGCCTGTCAACTATTCTTGAATTAGGGAATACACTTCCTTGCTATATATATTACCTTGAAAAATTAGTGTATTTGTATGCATTTTTCATTGGAAGAAAATGTTTTAACTGTGTTTTATTTTCAGAGAAGAACTATTTATACAAACATGGGGACTGTGAAAAGAAAATTCTATAGTGAATTGTGAAAAGTGGACATATTTCTAAATTCATTCCACTGCCTTTATCCAAACTTAAGAATTACAGACATTTGTTACTCCTTCGGCAAGACATCCCCGCTGCACAATGATATGTTCATTTCGTAATTTGGTTGCTGGCCACCAAGTGCTCCTTAGTTTTTAAATACATTTTGAGATTTACTGGAAACTTGAAGAAGAAATTAGTTCCTGATTAAGACTATCCCAACCTTATTTTTATTGTCAGTTTCACTTTTGTTTCTATGTTGTTTATGTCTTTGTTATATAATTGTACATTGTGTGATATGTGAAAAAAAACCAACTTTGGATGAACCTTATGTTACATATACATTGTTTTCATTATATAGACTGCTTGAGAATAGTGCGTTCCTGAGTGATTTTGAACATGCTACAGTGAAAAGTGAAACTGTGGACCATGGAAACACCAGCTAGAGGTTTTATGGACTATACACACCTATTATTTTAGTGTTATTATTAAACACAGTAAAAAGTAATGAGTAAAATTACTAGATGGCAATAAGAAAAAAATCTCATTTTCTTTGTCTTCCCTGTATAACCATGATTTCCTTTTTATGTTGCATCAAAGGATGATACCGAGTTTCAGAAATCATTTTGAAATAAGGTATTTTACCATTCATACCCTACAATAGACATATTTTTGATTAGGCACTTAGCAATATGACTGAATTGACAGTTTGAGAAAATACCCTGCATGTCAGTACTGGATATTTGAGTTGGGGAAATATCCTCTTTATTAGACACATTGTAAAAAGCATGCATTCTCAAATACTGCTGTTACTCTTCCATTTCTTTGTGTCATATGCTTGCTACTTGTAATTTTTATATAAAGATATATAAAATGTATAATAATTTCCTAACTTGAGTTAAGAAAAATGTTTTCTTTTGTTAGAGTGACAAAAAAACTGACTTACATAAGTATACACTTTATTTATATCAACTCTTCCCAAATCTTAGAGTACAGAATATACTTTAGGATTGAAGTTTACTTCCCCAAATCTTTGATTTCTAAAATTTTATGGACTGCATTCTCCTTTTAAAATAGGAAGGTCTTTTTTAAGTGCTTTAAAATCATAGATCCTTTTATGGCATAAGTTACACAATTCTGAGTTATTCTTATACTCAGGCACACATATACCATCTGAAAGCTTAGTGATTATGATGTGTTTCATATAAATAAAGCAAAACTCTATAATATATTTAATTGCTGATGAATTGCACACCCATTTTATAAAGTTTGATTTAGTGAGTGGGTACTTTCAAAAATATTGAATGTGTATTCTTAGAAAATGAATTTTAAGAACCAATATTACTATACATCTACCTACCAACATTTTCAAAACTACTGAATTCTACCTTTTAAAAGAATTCTGACCTTTTAATAGCAAGTAATTTTTGTTTTTTTATTTGTTTGTTTTTTGAGACAGGGTCTCACTATGTAGTTCAGCCTGGCCTTGAACTCAATATGTAGCTCAGGCTGTGCTCAAACTCTTGGAGATCTTCCTGTTTCAGCATTCAGAGTGCTTCGATTACAGGCATGCTTCACCATGACAGGCCCCAAATAGCAAGTAACTTGATCTACCACAATTCAGACCTTGCAAGTCTAGTTGGCTTTACAAACCACATTGATAAGATCACTGTCATATCTCCCTGATAGGAAGTCAATTTCACATGTTAAAAATAAAACCAAGTAAGTGGAAAATAAAATAATTTTGTAATAGAAAAATCAAAGAATTGTAGCAATTTTGAATACTCTATATTGAAAACATATCCACTTATAAAAATAATCACATTAATTTGATCAACTGGTGAATAAGAAAAGATTCATCAAATACCATAAATCAAGATTATTTTCATTATTCTACATATTTTATACACATTACTTGCGATAAAACTTACTGTTTTTTATGTGGCTTGACTGATTTATTTATTGCCATGCTTACTTTTATGCCCTTTGATTCAAAGATGATGCACCAAAGAATTTTTTTAATAATTAGCCATATTTTATATTGTTTCGTCTCTTTAGGAATCTTCATAGATCACTTTACTTTCAATGAATAATCGAAAAAAATATAGTATATATGCTAAGGCTTTTCATTTATAACAGCAGTGAAGAAAGGAAAATAAATTAGGTGAAAAATTTACCATTCATTTGTCCTGCAGCTATTCACACACAGGATGTCTATCACCTCCAGTTCTTCCTAGTTATACAGAATTCTATGTTTATTCTCTGCTTAGAAGATGTTTGCACCAGAAAGCTACTAATGGATATTTCCTTTTGCAAACAACAAACTAAAAGAAGTATACTAGTGAGGATGGATAGTTTATGTATATGTTTAATACCCATTAACACTATGGGAAAACAAAAATATTTCCGATGAAGAATAGGCCCCCTCAGAATGCTAGAATTACTTAATGACAGAGAGTGAATCATCAGAAGAGAAGATATTGACGCTGCTGGAACAGAACCCAGAGGTACCCTGCTGTACTCTGGCAACAACTCTTGGTGCTGACCCCTTAGGGCAGGACCCCGGCAAGGCTTGGAGATGTTCTTTGAAGAGCCCTGGAGGAGCTTATTTAAAAGCCAGTATTGAAATTGATCAGTATATTAGAGCCTCCTATTTAATGGCTACATAGAGTTTACTTCCTGAATATGAACCTTTGGCCTACATTTACAAATGGGTGACACCTATGGATAAGAAAGGAGATATTTCAAGTTTTTTAAATCAAGTTATTTTAATAAATAATTATTTTTTCATAAAATGAATTCAAATATACTAATATAAGTGCTTTATTAATTCAATAAATTTTTTTCAAATAATGTATTAAGTTAGCTTGCTATGTTAATTTGGTAAAGCTATTCATTTTATTTTTCTATGTTTGAATTCATTTTTCAAAATCTTGGTGACATATCATAATTATATGCAACACTATGAAGCCCCTAGTTGAGTTTTTACCTCTGTCCAAATGCACTGGTTGCCTAAATTAAAGTTGGTGTGTTGATTTGGAAATCTGATGCTTTGTACCTATTTTTGCACATACCAATTTTGTGCATCATATTACAGAATAGACATGTTGTACTTGCTTTGCCGTAATTCACTTTGATTTAATTGGATAATTACAATGTGGCTGTAACATTAAGCCTTTAAAGAGGAATGGCCTCTATCATAGAGTTGCTGGCTATTTTATGTAACTTTATTTTTTCCTACTTAAAAATATTCAGTATGTCTAAATGACTGTAAAAGTTATGATTTTTGGTGTGTAAAATTTTTGGTATTTGATATTACTTGAATATTCACTTAAGCTATTACATGAGCTTTTTCTATAATTCTTACTTAGGAAGTCAGGTTTTTCTGACATTTGGATGAGATTTCCATGCCCTCAGAATATAATAAATTGCAAAACACAATCCTGGTTCCCATTACTTTTATTAAAATAAGAGTGTATCATCTATCAGTTTTGGTAGTGAAATAAATAATAGCATTTTGTCATGAAGTTTGTATATTTCAATGAAGAAAATGAATATAATATCCCAACTCTGGAAGGAAGTTAAATACATAAAGCCATTAAAATTCTCTAAATCCTAAATGGATATGATTTGAAAATGAGCTTCAGTTTTCCACCTGCTCTGAAATGTTAGTTTCTGTGCATGATATTTTTCCCACTGAGTAATTTCTGCCTATCACAAAATGGAACAAAGGATCCAGCTAAGAAATTCTTAACTAGATAAAAGAATAAAATAAGTGAGATTTCCATTAATAATTTATCTCTTGCTTATTTAATTCATAATCCTCATGTTCCTTTTAAAAGTTGAATAAGGAAAAAAATTGAATGAATAAGCAAAATAAAATATATTGTCAAAATAGCCAGAGATGTTTTTATCAATAATTCAGTTCCATAAATCCAAGGTTCTTGTTAATTTAGAATTATTCTGATTCATTTATTAATAAATTTATATGAATCATGCTACAAATTTTATTAGCTTAATTATATTATTCCAAAAAATCAAACAGGGTTATAAAAGTAATAAGTATAAGTGAATGTTCCCAGACACTCAACTCATTATTTTCCTCTTAGCTTTGGGGTCTGTACTTTCTTGTAGGTTATTAAATAAGTAAATGCTCTCTTAAAATATTTCTATTTCCTCAGACAAAAGAAAAAATATACCTTATATGATTCAGACTTCGGTCATATACTTGGATGTTTTCCAGAAGAAAACCAACATGATCAAAGAGTTAATTTGCTCCTTTACATCCCTAGCAACTTTGCAATCAGCATGTTGGTTGTCCTGAGATCCTACTGCCTCTCCAATCACCAAGACATGCTCTTTTATTTTAGAGGTTCGTTCTTTGAGTTTTTTGGGGGTTTTTTTGAGACAGGGCCTTCTCAAGTTCCAAGCTGATCTCAAACTCACTATATGTCACTGGCTGGCCCCTCACTTGTGATTGAATTTCCTCAACCTCCCAGAATTCTGGGATTAGAAATGTGAGTGAGCATCCCTCTCTTGGCCTCTCTTAGTTACAGACACTGGCACAAAACTTTAAAATGACCAGAAAACAATGTATAAATTACTCTAAAGAAAGCATTGCGTTTACAGCACATTGTAAAATTTGTACTCTGCTCATTTTCCTGAGTTAAATTTGATATGAATACAGCCAATCTTTTTTGAGCTTATACAATCTAGGTACCAAACTTCCTCCTAAGTTCTTTGGAAATCAAAATGGAGTAAGCGATCAAACAAGGAGGATAATTATGGAGACTGATAGAAGGAAGAATGCTCAGAGGAGACCTAGTATGAAAATGAAGCTCCAATGTGTCCATGTTGTCTATCTCGAGACACTGATTACACATCACTGCATCCCTCCTCCATCACATCTTGTGGGAGATGTGACATACTCAACCATCCAGAGAATAGAGTGCAGGTGATGTTTACAATCAAGAAGTTAGTAGCAGAAATGTAGGATAATACCTTCTCAGGAGGATCAAGACAGGTTTTATGAAGAGTTGACCTTTAAAGCAGGTTTTGAAGAAAGGGAAACATTGCCAAGGGACAGTGCATAGAGAAATCTCTAAACTAATGAGAGCAGGAGTGATCTTGGAAGATCATTTATTTGAGTTGACAGGTGCACAGGAGGAGACAGAAGGGGTCGTTGTAAATATAATTGCAATAGAAAGTACATACTGATATCATGATTGATGACTACATAAAATGCTTTTCTAAAGGAGTTTACTTTTATTTAATGTCTTTTGACAAAGCATAGCTTAAAGAGCCTCTGAAGACAATATGTTTGCTAAGTTGAATTAAGAGTGAAATAAAGTAGAGCAAATCAGGTCAATAAAAAATCAAGACACAAAGTAATTGATTGTTAGAGATGCAGGAGTATTTCTCTTGCTTTTCTATTTATTTTATACTTTATTTATTATTATGAATATCTAGTCTAGCTCATTTCACTTAAAAAGGTTATAGAAGTTCATATTTATCTATGTTAACACCACAGTTTTCTTTCCTCATCTGTAAAATATGTATTACAGAATCTCCTTTCCAATTTAGAGCTTGTGATCATGCACTGAAGATATTTTTTATATCCTATGTTGCATTGTAAAAATAAATAATTTTTCCTAAATCATGTGTAAACTTCATTTTATAATTGACATGGAGCAAACATATCATCTTTAAAAAGCACCAATACAAAATATCTTTTACCTTCTTTAGTCCACCGTAAAACACATACCCTCCAGGACCATTGATTCTGACTTCATTTGCTTTTCATTTCCTTCAGTGATTAGCTAATTGCACCATACTATTGAGGGCTGTTCATCATCAAAGAACAATATTGAAGGTCTGAGCTTCTTAGCAACTCCAAAGCCCCAAGTATCCCTATACATACAGACAGCAGCTATTGAAAGGGAGCCCTGCTTTCCAATCACAGAAAGTTGTTTGACATAAATTCACATAATAGTTTACTATTAAATAAGCAAGCAAATAGCTGTATAGCTGAGTGCAGTCTTATAACTATAACAAAATATAACGTGATACAGTGAAAATAACTTTCAACAGATCAAATTCAAAATTTAATTGTACTTAATACTATATATGTTTTGTTTAAAAAGTTTTTGGAAGCCTCTAAATTTCACGTGTATCTATGAAGTAGAGAAGGCTGTATCTAATGGGGTTCCCATGAGAACTAAAGATGCTGTGGATAAATAACATGACATCAGTAAGGCCACAAGTGGGACTGTGGTATTTACCTTTGTGTTTTACCAGTTTGTATTCCATAGTGGGAAGATTTTCTCTGATCTGTGCTACTTTTATATATCTGTGAACCAGGCATTCTTGACAACAACATGCCCTGCCTCTCTGATCCTAATGGTTTTAGACAATTTAGAGAAAAACCTCATGTTTCAAAGACATTAAGTGCCTGACAGCAGTTTCTGGGGAGATGATTAAGATAGGGTCAAATGGGAAAGAGGTAATGGTTATTTAGGTGGCATGAAGCGAGAGTCAGACATTGCCTATTAGTTTTTAATGTGCCATGATACAGAATGAATGAAGAAATGATGCTGGCCAATACACTAACACTGATACGCTATTAATGTGTAATTTAGAATTGCCGATTCCTGGAATTTAAGTGTTTGAAGATAGGCATTGGGACTGAACAATCTAAGTATCCTGCAAAACGACTGTGCTGTACATAATTGGCTGTCCATATGTGTCTGTTAAATGAGCGAATGAGTGGAAAATTATACTTAACGTCCCTTTGCCATAGAAGCCCTGCCCTGACACATGGCTTATATTTATTATTGGACTACTTTATATACATTTATATTTTAATCTAAAGATTTATTTTTCTATTTACAGCCATCACATTAGTTGTACCTACATTTATAATTTTATTGGATGAAAGAGAATGCATGATAAAGATGAAATTGGAATAATTTTACTACTCTAAATTTAGTTCAAAGCCTCCAAAGATTAAAGTAATGACAAGGAAATGGAAACATTCACTACCCTAATTTGATCGGTTCATATGGTATACATGTATTGAAAGATCATATTGTGTACCATAAATATATAATAATTACATTTTAATCAAAATTTTTTTTAAATTTAAGGAGATGTAAATGCTAAGTACTCTGATTCGATTATTAATACTGTACATGTCTTGAATTATCACACTGCACCCCATTGACATGTATAATTAAATTAACATTTTTTAATTTTAAAATTCAATTAGTAGGTTGGGCATTCTAAACAAAATCATACCCATAATACAATTGATCATTCGTAAACCACAATTTAGAATAAATTACTTATTAAATAACAATTCAATATATTTAGAATCCATGGGGCATTCTAGATTTTTAGATTTTATATGCTAGTTGTATTTAAAAGGCAGTCTAAGTATATCAGTTTTGCTAGTGTGTACCCTATGAGAACATTTTTACATAGTGTATTTGTCCATTTTTCTGAAAGTATAATTTTTATGTTTTCAATTTATTAACACTTGCTGGTGATATTAAAATGAATAAAAAGTTAATTACTTAGAAAATGCTTTCTCTTTTTACTCCTTTCCTATAACCAAACATTGTCTCCCACTTCTGTTTGTACAAAATGTGAAGATATTTTCTATAAAAGAAAGCAGGTGTTTATATGAACATAATTTTTTTTAAGCACTGCTACAGCTGCTATGATATGAAGTCACTCCTTTAAAATCCACTGGGCTTTGAATGAGTAAGGCTGGGACTCTGCAAATTAATTTCCTTTGCCTGTTAGGATCAGCTGATTTTTGCAAAGATCCTTCAGGATCTTCTGTTAGAGGGTAGGAGAGGGAGATTGAAGGGCCAGTACAAAGATGAGGACTTGTTATTTTTGTTTGTTTCCTATTGACTTTGACTCAATAGTTCCCTCCTCCGTCTTTGGAGACCACATCCCCAGGGGCTCCACAGCATCAGCACCAGAGTGGGTGCCCTCCTCTGAGCTTCCCCAGACATTTCTTCCATCCCTATTGATATTTACATTCTTTTCTTCAGCCTAAGGGAAGGAGATGATTTTTAGTTTATTATCTCTCTGTTAACTCCATATTCTGTTTTTCTTTTTTTAGCCCTCTAACCTGTGTAATGGGTTCCATTTCTCAATATCTAGTAAGTTTTTCTGTTTTACAAACCAAAGGGCTATAATGGATTTTAATTGGATTTTTTCTTAGTAATGGCATTTACATTTTTTCCCTGAGATATTTATGTTTAATTTATGACAACTTTGCCTAATTAGAACTTAACCACTAGAAATACGTTTTGTTACTAGAATATTTCTGGAATTTTAGTTCTATACATGAGATATGAAATTTTAGATTGCTATAATGATTTTTATAATCAGCAGACATTCTCTTTCCATAGGCAGGTAGTCAATTTTCATGGGGACTTTTTTTCAGGTGCATGTTATTTATGCCGAAATGAAATTGACATGAAAGAAAATCACCTTTCCAAGTGATATTCCTTTCCTAGTCAGCTCTAGAGAACATCTTAATTCACTTATGAGGACCACAATGACTTCCTGTGTGTCTTTAAATTTTACTTTATTCTTTCCAAATAAAGTACTTTTCAAAATGATTGCTCAATAGAGGCCTACTTCAAAAAGAGCCCCAGAGATTTTGTCCTGGTCTATAAGAAGTTTCAAACCATTGCCTAGGGGAATCAAAAATTTAAATTCTAACTAATCAGCTGCAGAGCTCAGAAAGTTAAAAATACATAACCTCAATTTTTTCCAGGGAATGACTTTAAATCTAATCCCCTGGTGATAAGAATTTTAATCTATTTAAAGTCAACCACCATCAAACTATCAAACTTTTATCTTAAGCAAACAGAGGGATGGCCAGATGTAGTTGATAGAATTGAATGATGCTAACTCAGTCAGTGGTCTGTTTAAATTGTGATTCCCTGCAATCTATGACTATATAGGGGTAAAGATTCATTTTTATAGCATAATCAGATGAAATCATAGCTTCTTATGATTAAACTCATTTTATATAAAAGCATTCTGGACATTTCTAAAATTTGAACTCTTACAAAACACTACATAATTCTATTTTCTTAGCAAACCTCGGAAAATTACCTAATTCTGAAGGTATAAAAAGAAAAACAATCTTGATATCAAAATGTAGACAACCAGCAAACAACCTTGCACTGAAGTCATAAATGTGTATCTACTATTGACTGTTCAGTTTCTATTAAGCACACTTCTAAGCACTTTACATGTATTTATCTAATTAAGTCTCAGGACAACACCATATTTTCCCTGAAAATAAGACCTAGGTGGAAAATAATCAACCTTGAAAACTAGAGATCAAAAATGCCAGCCCTAATCAGCCTGTCCTTACCTTACTTTAGCCTTGCCTTATCTTCCTTACAAAGTAACCACCAAACAAGAGAATTGTGATGGCAGGTAAGAAAAGGACAGGCTAGGTCTTGTTTTCAAGGAAAGAAGTTATCATCTATATTTTACCAGTGAGAAGGTGAAGTTCCAAGAATTTTAACCTTCCTTTCCTGAGATCTCTAACCAGTTAATTTCTAAAGTGTTATTCATTCTTGAAAATATGGACACAGGAAATATATTGCTTCTTATGGGTTGCCCACTCATCAGTTTAAATGTGTAGGAAGCTAACTGTAAGCCTCTGAACTGACCCCTATACTTCCTATCCAAGCAAGCCCAGAGAAAGAGGAGAAACTAGTAGGAACAAAAGAAAGGCCATAGTCATTTCTCTTTGAATATGTTCTGATAAGAATTTCTAGTAGAATCTTTCACTTATAGGATAATTTTAGCATGATGCTCCTGGTCATTCTAGAAAACTTATGGTAAATACATTTATACTTCGTAGATCTGTGATTCAAGAACTACTAAAAAGGAATGTCAGAGTCTGTATGTGACTGAGTAGAAATAACAATATTTTCTCATTGAAATATCTCCTATTGTGCAAATGACACCCTCCCTGAGTCCTTTAGAGAATTCTTATGCTAAATAAATGTCAGAGTGGCACAGGCAGCAATAAAAAAACCAGGGGGTAAGGTTTGTAATGCCATACTTCCACATGATTCACCTACACTTCATAATTGCCTGTATCTCTCAAATTATTGATAATTTTGCCTTGCATAAAATACGTGATTTTTATAAGCCTAACAAATATCTGAGACCTTTCTTGTTATATTAAGGAGTTTTCTGCAGTTAAGCTACTTTGGAATTCTGAGAAGTTACATGGAATTCCAAGAAGTTTTATGGTTTCTTTTGGTGGCTTTTTTGGATCTTGTTAATTTATCCAACAAACATCTCACAAAAAGTAGAAACTCATGCAATAAACAGTTATTGCATTCATACTATCTCAATGGAGCTGATTTAGTCACAGAATTATGCAATCTAAGAGTTTAATAAAGAACAAACAACAAAACTAATAAAAAATATGTCATGTTGTTCTTTGAAAAAAATTACACATGTCATATTAGAAGGACAGTTGGTATTGAGGTATGAGATTGGAGAGACAAAAACATCTCTGATGCTATGTAAATAAAGAGCAAATAAAAGATAGTAGGAAGCAGGGAGATGGATCTTTCTCAAATAGGAAAGGGATTAAGAGGTTGAGGGGGAGGGAGGGAAGGGAAAAGGGAAGAAAAAAAGGAATTAAGATGTGCTATGTACACGTACCAACTCTATAAAAGGAATACAAACATTATGTACTGCAAACATGCACTAATAAAAATAAATAAATAAAACACAAAAAAATTGTAAAAGATATTACTGAAGTACAATAGTGAGACATGTCAGTATCTGAGAGAACAGATTTTCTGGCAAAGGGGGTATGCTTTACATGTGTGAGGAGAAAATAGTCTGAGAGATATGGAATGATAGAATCCCTGTGGTAGGAGAAAAAAGAAGATGTAGATGGGGATGAGATCAAACACAGATGATTAGATATTGCTTTAAAAATAGTCTTTCTTCTGACTCCAATGGGAAGCCATTGGAAGGCAAGCAGAGTAGTAACATGATATGGCTACACATTACCTGGCATTCTCTTCTGCCTTGTTGAGAATAGTCTACCAAGGAGTAGAGCCCGGTCAATGGGAAATATTAAGAAGCCTATGAAGAAGCCAAGTGAGCAGTGATGGGGTGTGGTGTGTCTGTCACTAGGCAACTAAGAAAATCAAAGTCCCTGTAAACAGTTGCGGCATTATTGCCATGTTCAGGAATTATGGATATAAAAAAGCTTTGGAAAAACAAAAGGGCCACAGGCAGAGAGGCTTTGCCACAGGTCTCAATTTCATGTGCCAAAGGAATTTTGATGCTGAAAAAATTCTCAAACTTCAAGATTTTCTAGAAAATTTCACACAACTACTTAAGACTGTGTAAGTAGAGCAGGGGAGGGTGGTTCTGAAGAACATTCCTACACAGGTGAGAATGCCAGAATTCCAAGCTCATGGGTCCATGTGTGCTTTGGAAAATTGTACCCTGTCCATCTCTTCCACCTATCACATCTTGCATGATGCTTATTACCAGCAAATGCTGCCATTAATGTATACCATAGGAATTATTATCTGTGTTCCAGCACTGCTTTTAATGCAATGTTTTCTTATATGTCATATATTGTTTAATGGCTTGGTAAGGTTGGAAGATAAAAATAATGTTAGATAATTTCTCACTATTATTCACACTATAACAGGTAGCATCTTATTCTGTCTTCCTGAAGGCAACTATAAGGTAATTCAATTAATTGATTATTAATTTTTGTGTCTACCTATCTTATGAGATTACCAGCTCCCTGACAGAAAGCAGAAATCCTTTGTCTTACTGTGTCCTCAGAAAATAGGACTATTTCTGGAATATAATGGATGCACAGTAAACACTTTTTGATTGAGTGAAAAGCTTTTCCATAATATGAGGAATCATGATGGGCCAAATCAAATGCTAAAGTGCTAAGAGAATCAAGCTAACAAGCAGAAAGGGGTATATAAAAATTATCTACACTGAAAACAAACACCCACATTAAATGATAATTAGAATTTGAAAAAGTATTGAACAGAGCAAGCAGGATACAAAAAATAAATAAGCAGGAATTAAAAACAACTGTGTATATGGCACAGCCAGGCATAAAACAGCTGTAAAACATTTTTATTATATAATTTAATTATTTCTATTAGTTTTTTTAATCAAAAGAATCTTTCATCTATTCATGATGGACTTCAGGGGAAAAAAGCTTAGAGATTTATATTCTCCTCGAGGTTTACAAGCATAATTGAATCGATACACTTGTAATTTTTTCAGATGCCATTACATTTTCTTGATGCAGTTCTTTGTAATTGTAAATTGACAGCTCAATCTTCTTGTCAGTTTCTGAAAAGACGTATCTAAGGACTATTCAAGAAAATATTTGGGGAGCTTAATAAAAAGCAGCAATGCAATCATGACCAAGCCCTTTTAGAACAAGACCTGAATGCCATTTCTCTCCTTGGAGCACTCTCAATATACCTGACAATTCCAAGTAGGTTGGAGCTGCTACACAGGCAAACAACACAGGCATCTGTTAGCATAGGCTGGCTCTTCAATAATAGACCCTTCAGTTTTCTAAGGTCTTAGAGTAGACATTCATGGTGAAAATGACAATTTAATGTACAATAAGATAACTATAAAGAAGAGTCTTGGACACATTATTTAATCATATTCTTCTGTAGTTCTGAGGGAAGATGCTACTACAATCTTGATATTACAGGTAAGGCAACTGAGTTAAAGAAGTCAACTAATCTCATTCACAGAGCTGATAAACTGGAGATACAGATTCTAATCCAGGCTTCCTAAAGGTAAGCCCACTTTCTATCAAAACGTAGACTTCTTATGTTAAACACTTGAGACTTGTTAATGCTGATAGGTGTTATTTAATTAACTCCCCACAAACTCATTATAAGCCTCATGCTTTTCCCAAGAGAATTGATAAAGGGCAAGAAAGGATGTGTTTGAGTCAGGACCCTCCAAAGAAAGAGTGACAATAAGTTACATGGATACATAGTTCTATACAATAATGATAGAGATAATGATACATGCATAGGTAAGTGGGGAAAAGATGATTTATTAAAAGAATTGGGTTATGCAATTTTAAAGACCAAGAAATCTGAATATACAGCTTATGAATACTGGGGAATCAGAGAAGTTCGTAGCCTGGCTAGTCCTCTGGCACAAATCTCAGGGACCAGGTCTGGAAAACCTGGAGTTCTGATATCCTTGGGCAGAGGAAGGGTGTCCTGTCTCCAAATAAAACAGAATTTATCTTTCCTCTTACTTTATGTTCTTTCTAAGCTCTCAGCCAATTAGATGATGCTGTGGGCAAATCATCTTTATATAAAATATATACATGTTAATATGTTCATTTAATTCTATTAAGTTTGTTGTGGAAAAAAGAAGCCATCAAATAATTAATTTAAAGTTAATATCGCTATCATATTTTTAATGTGTACAAGATATAAACCCATTGAATTTATAATAAAGTCATATATTTTGTTATAGTTCATTTGGTGGAAGAAATATACAAAATCATATTCATGGGAACACATATTTTTTTAAATCTGGATTTTTAAAATCACAGATCAAAAGTTTTACCAGGTACCAAGTGACAGCATATGAAACAATACACGTGAAGAAGATAAATAAGCTTTTTTATGCAGATTATCCAACCTAAAGGTGTAAAATAATAGTTCTGCCACCAGTTCCATTATAACAATAAATGCAAAGAAGTTCTTTGGAAAACAAAAAGGAGCATCATGGTGGGTAAAAAGAATACCCTGACCATACTTTTTAATGAAAATATGTACTTTAGCATAATGGTAGCCTGCTGTGAGTCTCAGTAGCTGCACTTGGACAATACAGGAAGCAATCTTTCTGTTCAGCTACTTGGTGTGACAAACAGCAAGGTGTGTGCCCACGTGTCAAAGTGTAAAAAGGTGAATTTTACCCACATTATGTGCTACACTAAATTTTTGTTCATATATAATTTGCTTTATTAAATGTTTTCTTTTGTTTTTTTCTTGTAGAATTAGCCTACTTCAGTACAATGTCTCATGAAAATCTGCTTTTACAACTTTGGGAGGAGGTAGAAAGTGAGTCATCAGGTGATTCAGCTATTGATGATGACTTGGATCATGTAAACCAAAGAAGTTGAGACACTGAGATGGAGCAAGATATGACAAATAGATAGAGAAATACAGAATGAAGACCTCTGATGCAGATGAGGAAGAAAGCAGTAATGTAAATAAATATTTGACAAGTCAAAATACTACAAAATGGTTATACATACCTGAATTATCCAACATTAGTACTAGGTCAGAAAATGTTATTACATTCTTGCCAGGGGTGAAACCTGTTGAAATGCCAACATTGCAATTCAGTGTTGGAAATTGTAACAGAAAATACATTAAAAGATATTTTTAAATACAATAATAATGAAATACAAGAAAACATTCTATATGTATCAATAGTAATACTCAAAAATATAACTATCATAACACCTCACTATCTGAACTAAAAGCCTTCATAGCAGGACTTCCTAATTCGAATCATCAGAATCTAAAGGATTTATGGAGAAGTGACAGATGTGACATTGTAATTTTTAGAACAATTATGACACTCGAGATTTGGTTTCCTTCCAAATTGCCTAGGTTTTGAAGACAAAAAGACCCACCAAGAAAGAAAAAAAAAATTAACAATTTGGCATCTATTTGCTCATGTTTTGAAAGCTTTGTTTTAAACTGTCAAGTAATTTATACAGCATCTGAATACATGACAACTGACAAACAACTTGCATCATTTTGTGGTTGTTGAAGTATTTGGTGATATATGGCAAATAATCCTCCCAAATATGGTAGAAAAATACATGTCCTTGTAGAAGCAAAGGCATTTTACACCTTGAATTTAGACATTTACCCTGGAGCTCAGCTACCAGGGCTCTATTTGTGCAGTAATAAACCATATGATGTTGTGAATGGACTTGTTACACCTATTTCAAGAACTGATCCAACATTCAACAACTGGTTCACTAATCACCTACCCATTGATGTTACATTTGCTAAAAGAACACCAGTTGACCAGCATAGGAACAAAGAAGAGATTCCTGAAAAAAATGCTGCAAGTTCACAATAGAGAAATGTATATTATAATGAATTTCAGAAAAGACATAACATTGGGCTCCTATATGGTAAAGAAAAACAAAGTAGTATTGATGTGGTCAACATTACACCATGATGGTAAGCTTGGTAGTGAAGCTGGACATGGTGCACACCTGTAATCCCAATACTCAAGAGGCTGAGGCAGGAGGATCCTGTGAGTTCAAGGTCAGCAGTGCTACATAGTGAGTTCTAGGCTAGCTTGGACAGCACTATGGTGAATAAAAACAAAATAATATTGATACTGGCAATGTTACACCATGATGATAAGATTAATAGCAAAGCTGGTTGTGGATGCCTGTAATCCTAGCACTTGGGAGGCTAAATCAGAAGGATCCTGTGTGTCCAAGGTCAGCCTATGCTATATAGTGAGTTCAACGCTAGCCTGGATTATATAGTAAGATCCTGTTTCAAAAAAAACAAACAAATAACAAGATTGATAATGAATCCTCAATACAAATGAAGCCATTAATGTTGACATTTTACAACAAAATGAAAGGTGGATTAGATGTTGTTGATGAGTTATGCATATCGTATCATATCATATCGTATCACTGGAACTATAATATCACTGGAAAGGCAAAGCATTTGCCAATAGCTGTGTTTTACTCAATCCTAAACATGTTAAGCATAGTTTCATAGTTTACAAAGAAAATAGGCACAAAATATCATGGAAAATTTTCTTAGAGGATTGGGACTCGACTTGATAAATGGTCAGTTACAATAAAGAAAGAACAGTATATATCTGCCAAAGAGCTCCCCAACAGAATTCTGGAGCAAACGGGTGGACAGACAGGATAAACACCACAAGAATCTCCAAAAAAAGCAAGAAGATAAGCAAGATGTCAAGTATGTCATGCCAAAAAAAAAAAAGGAAAACAACACACGAGCTATAAGTGTAAGCAATACTTGGGTATGGAGCATGCTGTTTTCACGTGTGGAGACTGCTTTAGGTGCTCAGTGAAATCACAAATATCAGATTGAGCTCCGGCTGTCGGTGACCATTAAATAAAGTTGAACAATCTCTCTGTTGTAGATGTTACCTAGTTTATGTCCTTGATTAATTTATGTACCACACTGCTTGGATTTTATCACCGAGTAGAATTACTACTAATATACACACAAATAGATTATTTGGCTTGTAATAATCTGATAAAAGTAGTTACATATCATGCTACTAGTCTGTGACTAAAATAGTTCATCACCTACTGGGTGGGTATCTTTCCCAAAGAATTAAAAGAATCATACCACAGCGATATATGTGCACCTATGTTTATAGCGGCACAATTTGTAATAGCTAAGTATTGGAAACAGCTCAATTGCCCATCAACTGGAGACTGGATAAAGAAAATGTGGTTTTTTTTAATAAAATGAATTACTACTCAGCCATAAAGATCGAGAAACTAGAGTCATTTATAGCTAAATGGATGGATATTGATGCCATTCTCTTAAGTGAAATAAATAGGACACACATGTGTAAATACTGAATAGTTTCTCTAGTGTGAGAAACTGAGTGTAAATAAGGATGAAAATGACTAAAACAAATAATTGATAATTTGAAATAGGAAAAGGTCCAAAGGTGGAGGGGTGGCGAGAGGGGAAGGGGAAAGGGAAGAAAGGAGAGGAAAAATTATGAGAAAGAAAAAAAAATGGAAACAAAGTCTATGTAAATAGGGAAGGGTGGTGGGGGTGAAGGGCACATAAGTAATGGGGAAAAAAATAAGAACTAAGATACATCATGTTCAGGTACAAGCACCCAATGGTAAATGTAAATGTGTTGTATACCTAAAATGTACCAATTAATATATAAATTAAAAAAATAGTTCATAATTTTTTATTAGATGTAATACATATTTGTAAATTTAAAATAAAATTTATTGAACATAACATTTTAATAGTAGAATGAAAAATTGCTAGGTCTATAATACGGTAAATGTTTAGTGAACGTTTCCTGCACAGTGTCAAGTGAGGAACATAACTGGGTCCAATTGTTACAAGGTTCGGGGGTGCTGGAGTCTCCTTCTGAAGGTTGTTTGCCTGAGCAAAGAATTGGTCAAGACAAGTGCAAATGTCCCAAGATTTTACATTTATTAAGATAAGAAAAGAAAAGATAAAAGAAAAGAAAAGAAACATGCTCTGTAGAGTCACTTTGGTTAAAAAAAGAGTTGCACCCTGGAAAGAAGAAGGTGGGCCACTGAAAGAGCTAACAATGGCCCCAGCTGGACGGTGGGTGTCTTTTTTATCTTTCACTTCTCGGGCTGATGTCAGGTCTAGGCCATACTATCAAAAGCCTGTTTGAGTTCTCACAAGAAGAACTGAAGATAGCTCTCTCTGATTGGTTCTGTGCAGAGCGTTTGGAACTCTTTTGTGAAGAAAGTTTAATGGGTCATGCCCACTTCCCTAGCCAGTTTGCTGTACCCTAATCTTCTGCCTCACAATTGTCAATGAAGAACTCACAGTAATAACAAAGGCACTCACTTTTTGTCTCTCTAACTAGAAATCTTAAGTCTGATGAACTGCACAAATATTCAAGAAGAATCCACCTGAAAGTGTTTGTCCTCACATATGTTTACCATGATAACACTAAGTTTTAATGCATAAATCTCGAGAGTAAAATAAGTGCTTCTGAAAAAATTGTTAATTCTTTTTTTAGGAGACTTCAATCTTAATTTGGTTGCTTAATTTTATGGATTCTAAAATGTCCACTTTTCTTGATTATTGTTATTGGTTACCTTTCATTTTGGTTAAAACATTTATCTGTTCTTTGGCCACCTCTGAGTCATCTGAGTCATTCAGATTAACAGTACTGGCTTGCTTGGTATGATATATATTCAGTTTCCTCTGACATTAAACATAAGACATATAAACATCTCAACTATAAAAGTGAAGTTCAAATTAAAATTGAAGTGAAACGTACTGTGGCTATTGGGTATATTTAAATATAAGACAGTGAGTCATAGGATTATTCCACAAAGAATAGTAGTTTATTATCGGTTCATGAGTTAAAAAGAATAGATAACCACCTGATTTAAGAAAAAGAGTTGGAAATGTTGTTCCCATGTAAAGTTAGAAGTATGGATAGACTGATGAACACAATAATTTGGGTATTACAATATTAGGATAATAGGGGACATATACTCTATCTACCAGCCCAAGAAAGTGGTAAGAACTATCAGGGAGAGAAAATTCTAAGCCTCAGGCTTATAAACAGTTATGTGATTGAAATTTATGGCTATATAGTACAATGTGAAATCCCAAGATTATTAATAGAAAAAATCTGTTTCAAATTAGTGAAACCAACTGTCTACATGAAAGAAGCAAACTCAGTGCTTCTCAGAGGGACATTTTCATAAGGAAAATTTATAGTTTATATTCAGATAGCCTTGCTAAATTGCTAAACTACTCCTCCTTGGCTTGAAATTTCAATCCTCCTTCCTCAGCCTCCAAGGATTAGAGGCCAATGCCACCATGCCCTGCCCAAGGTATCAGATTTTTAGGCAGGCAGGGCTCATGTGACTGACTTTAGTTATTCAGTTCATTCTTCCCACTCACCGGACAAACTCATAAAATGTGGTCAAGAACTCAAGCAAACAAAGACAATTTGTAAATTATTTAGGAAGAAGATGACAATGGTGATATTCCAAAGGGTAAGAGGTTGTCTCCCAGCAGCCAGTCATGAACTGGTTTTCTCTCTTGAATGTGCAGGGTTTGACTGACACAAGTTGCTGAGTCAATCCTTCACTGTGTTCATGAATAAATCTGAAAAACCATTATGGGAAAAGAAACAAGTGAACAAAATAATTGATGCCTCAAAACACAGTGGTATGAACATGACATACAATTTTTGAGGGAGATTAGAATTAGGTGTTTGATAGTAAAACACTGTTACTCAGTATTTCATACTGAAATTTCTTTGTATGACTGAAGGAAATAAAATTCAAAACACATGAAAACAAAACAAAAGCTTATACAGGGTTACACTGATTACTGAAAGGGCATGGTCTTTCTACAAGGTGGTATCTGGTCCATTTCAGGTCCAGTTTGATTCTTTAACTGCAACTATTCCCACCCCATATGTGTCAGAGACTCCTGCAGTAAGTTTCTAGTCCCCACCTGCCCAATGCATGATACTAAGTTGAAGAAAACTTAAGACAGAGTTAAAAACAAAGTGTGAACTGGGACAGCCATTGCTCCTTTGGCAAAGGGCACTGGTCCATTTCTTCCACTGAATTTTATTATTCATCAGTCAGGGTAAAGGTGCATGTATAGATGTGCAGTACGTGAAATTACTATGGAAACTAATGTAGGCAAGGCTTTAAAGAGAAGTCAAAGCATTTTCAAATTAAAAGCAAGATGAACAAAATATATGGTTGTAATCACAGCATTGTCCTTCAAGCTATGAAGGCACTAATTGTGGGAATGGAATTTGAGTCCCATTACTCTAACCTCAGCTATGGTTGTCATCTTGTATTAGCCCCCACAGCCTCATAGGCCATTACTCTTGTCTTGGCTGTGGCTGTTAGCGGGGAGGTCATTTTAACCTGCCCACTACCACATTGCTCATGAGATACTTCTGTGAGTCACGTAGCTTCAGTCAGACTCCCTTCTTAAAGTAAGCCAATCGAGGGATTTAACTCTTTGTAGCCTGTGCTGCTCACAGCATGTTTTGGGCATAATCAATATTGTGGGGTTTTGGAACATATGATTAATTATATTTAATACAACTATTTAATATAACTATTTTTATATCATTCATTATTTAATATTGGTTTCAATATTAATTTGATAATGTTATTCAGTTCTTTAGTATATTATAGGAGGCCTGAGGGCACCTGAGGACACAACCCTATCATTTAGTGCAGGTGCCGGATGGGGCTCCATTATATAAAAATGAATCAGCATAGATAACCATGCACGTGCCATATGGCGTTCAAGGTCACCCAGAATATTTTGTCTTACTGTGTCTTCATAAAGCTGATAAAGAACTACTATAAATTCTGTGCTGGAAATTAAAGTTTTGTTCCTGCTTTGTAATATCTGATCCACATGTGTTCTTTTCTTTGGGAATCTCACCTGATGGGGCCTCCCTTCAACTCACTGGCCCTGATATATATTTAACATTCTTTTTCCAATTTTTTCTGTTGTATATCAATAAATAAATCCAAATGTTTAATTTTATATATGTTTCTTCCCTTTAGTTGTGTTAGATTTTACTTTATATCTTTGTGAGGTGGACTAGAAGAAATAAAGGTAGAAAGGAGGCAAGAATAACCATGATTTAAAAATTGTACTTTCAAGAAGCCTGCAGCTTCAGAAAATAATCAGAGTTCCCCAGGTTCCCCATATCTGTACTCCCTAGGCTAGTTTATGTTTCTTTTCTTCCAGCTCCCTTGCACCCAAATCTCTTAAAAGATATTATAAGTCCATAAAATACTTTAGTTGATAAGGCAAAGGGCAAAAAACTGATATTAAGATAAAGAAATAGATTCAGAGAATTGAGAAATTGGGGGGAAAATCAGGACACCCATCTTTTTAAAAAATGCAATAGATGACCTGGCCCTTTCTTCTGTAAAATAGGCCATCCTTTTACTAGTAAAATAAGTCACTAGCTATCTGTGATTGGGCCATCCATTTTCTCTTGTAAACCAAGCCTAAATTTTCTACCGAATCAAAAATTCTAGATTTCCACCACCAAAAAAATAAATATTTCCAGTTCCAGACTATAATGCACCTCTCTCCCTTTTGAGGGACTGCACTCTAAGTCTGAGTCTGTGCTTGTAAAGTTCTACCTAATAAATCCCATTCTAACTCTTACTGATGCATCCTGTAAATTCTCTCTGTGATGGAAATCAACAAGCCTGCAACTACCCCACAGGTAGAGTAGGTCAAATATCTTAATCTCT